GTGTGACCACCATTTGCCTCACGCAGTGCAACACATCTCCTTGGCATAGAGTTGATCAGGTTGTTGATTGTGGCCTGTGGAATGTTGGTCCACTCCTCTTCAATGGCTGTGCCAAGTTGCTGGATATTGGCAGGAACTGGAACACGCTGTCGTATACGCCGATCCAGAGCATCCCAAACATTCTCAATGGGTGACATGTTAGGGTTAGGGTTTAACCCTAGGGTTTTCGGACCCCCCCCAGACCCCCCCAATAAAGCAAAACTTTTGCTTTATTGGGGGGGTCTGGGGGGGGTCCGAAAACCCTAGGGTTAAACCCTAACCCTAACATGTCACCCATTGAGAATGTTTGGGATGCTCTGGANTCGTTGCAAGCCATAATCGTAATCGCGATTAAAATACGATTAAAATACGATTAATTGAGCAGCCCTAGTAACAAGTCATTCAACGTTTCACATGAATGTAGTGCATTAGTAAGCACAGTATCTCTCTCTCGTGCACTTCCTTTTTGAGCTGTACACACACTAAGGCCAGTTTGCTTTGGTTTGCTTTGTACAGCCCTTTGAGGCACTTCTTGTGATTTGGGGCTATAATACATTTGGATTGGATTTGATTTGAGTAATGGCATGGTGTGTGATGTAAACTAACCTGCACCCCCCCGGCTCCTCCTCCTCCTCACAGGCTCGCTCTGCTCCGGCCTCTTCAGCGCCTCGACCCTCGGGGTGTCCTGCAGCGCCCCCAACCTGCGGGACTACGTCCGCACGCACCACCTCCTCCACAGGAAGCCCCCCCTCTCCCCCGGCAGTCTGCCCATCGGCGTGTTCGGTATGTTCTCCCCTCCGTCCTCCTCCACCAGGCGGCTCTCTGTCCTTTTGAGAAGCTCTTTTTTTACTTCTCACTCCTCAAGATTTAAGAGTCCTTTTGGGAAATTCTTTGTTTTATTTTTAATTAAAGCTTCTTGCTCTCTTTTGGCCCCTTTGCCAAAAAACAACCCGACAATTTCAATCTGTTGCATCACATTTCTTGAGTGATTTGACTTCCCAGTGGCATGATGAGGGCACTGATTTTGAGTGATCACCCCACCCCCCCCCCCCGTCGTCCACTTGGGTTTGATTGTGTTGAAATGTTCTTTCTCTCTGTGCATGTTGTTTTGCAGTGCGTACTACCACATTCCCTCCGTGGTAATTCGATTTCATAATCCACAGTAAAGTAGATTTTGTGTCTGGAAGCTACAAGTCTGGCATTAATGACAGTTTTAGGTAATCCTTACTTTAGGAAACTCAGCCTGTTATTTGGAACCGACCCAATAATCCACCTTTAAATAATCCCCAGTCGCATTCTCCCTCCCTTCCCTTCTCCTTAAGTGTCATGTTGGTTATGGAAGTAGAAGCAAGATGTTTTTACAGCCACCAGGGGTCCTTATAGCAGCTGTAATTAGCCCGAACACATGGACTGGATCTCTTTCTCATGGTCACAGCTGCTTTAGTGGTTTTTGTAGTACTTTCACAAAATGAATGTAGCATCCTGAGGTTCAATCAGCAGCAGATACATGTTTCTGATGCATAAACAAGCTGTGTTTTTCCCCAGCTCTGGTTTTTAAACACATCAATCTGAGTCACTCTGTTTCTCCACCGGGTGTCACTCTAACTGCGAGCTACACACTGCCAGGAGCAAACAGACTCTCGTTTCTTTCACATCAGGCTCTCCGAGAGGCAGGTGAGGGTTTAGACTGACGTCATCTCAGGGAAGCGAGAGCAGAACAACATTGTACTTGTTTTACGGGAAATGTGAAAGGAAGCGTTCTGGTTTGAACTCAGACCTTTAAACAGCCTGCAGTGTTGCTGGAGAGCGGACTTTAGAGCAGCCTTCATTGTCCCTTCTACCCCACAGTGTTATAAGGTGAGTTCAAATGCCCCTTCATCAACACCACTCATCATGTTTACAATGTCTCGTGGATTACAAACATTATAACGTCTATCAGCCATTGGTTTTTACCATTTTAGTTTACTCTTACTGCTCTCAAAGCATCTTTTGTGGTCGTCACAGGCAACCGTTTTCAGCAAAAGAAGTGTAAAAACCAGCTCTGCAACAAAAGGTAGGCAGATAATAGCTGGTGAAACATAACGACATATTTTTGTAGGTCAACCCGGAAGTTAGCAAGTTTCCTTTACTAAAAGCAATGGGAATTTTCCATTGGATTTTGAAATATTGCAGAAAAATCTTTGGCAAACAAACTTCAAATGTTTGGTTCAGCAAACACACCTCTTTTAAAAAATAGTTCAAACTGAAATAGAGACCAGTTGCCGTGTGTCACCCCCTCTGTTTCCCAGTTTAAATTCTGTCTCTCCATTTAAGGAACTGGTCCAGAATTAAATAGCCAACGTGATAAACAACCTTCATGACGGTTGCATGAAGTCCGCACCGCTATGCTTAAGACTTGTGATAACTTTCAGTAGTCTCAATGAGCCCCTTGTAGGTTAAAAGCTTCGGACATGCTGACATATTTTATGTTGTATAACAAAATATGAGTAGGCTTGCATTAACCACAAGCCTTTCCGGGAATCTAATCCAAAACTAATTTAATAACGCTTACTAATTTCCGTTTGTTCTGTTCTTCATAGAGTGCTAAAAGAAGGGCAATCTTTGACTTGATTTGCCAAAACATCGACAGGTTTGGTATAAATTAAACAACGGTGAGGGTATTTGAACAAAGCCTTGTCTGTAGCTTCATATTAACCATCCAGACATAAATCCTTGCATCCAATAAAATATGGTACTAGTCAGCAGCCTATGACGGGTTGTGTTTCACAGACTGTCTCCTGTCACAGGGGAACGCCCTTTAGATTAAAGTCCATCGTCACTCCTACTGCATGTCTAATATCCAGACAAAACCCCAGTCCTCCTCCCCCTCCACAGCCTCTCCTCCCCCTCTCTCTGATGGCCTATCTGTTCTTTGTTCATTCAGAGACGACCCTCACTTTCACGCATGTTGGTTGGCAGACAGACACTGATGGATCGACGGGCCAAATCTCTCATTCTGTTTCTCTCTCCTCTTTTTTTCTCCCATGTTAAAAACACTGGCACAACAGGCAGGTACCAGCAGTCCCAGTAACCCCAGTTACCTTTCTTATCTCCTCAGAGCTGTTCTCTATGCCGCCAGTAAAGAGATTTTCTGTGTCGTTTGCCAGGCATCCGACTAATGGTATGTCTGCTTTTTATTCAAGTTTTTTTTCGACACTCCTCCAGTTTTTCCTGTTATCTTGCATGACCCTTTTTTTTGTGGGAAAACATTTCCTGTGTTTTCTATTTTTTGGGGGGGTTTGACGTTTGGCTGCGTTAATTACATTAAACGTCTCAGAAATGAAATTTGTAAGAGTTTCTGTTTCACCACACGCCCTCGGTGTTTGTTGTACCTTGTGTTGTGTTTCGGCCCTCACCTCTAACACCACCTGCTCTGCCTGCTCTTGTTCAAATCGCCTCTGTGATCCTGCTGTTTCTCCACAGGATGAATATATCTCCTGCCTCTGATACGTTTCCATGTGCAGATAATCTGTGCACGCATCTTAAATATATCCTCATCTCCAATTTGAAATCATTCCTTCTTTTAATTTCTTATTCTGGGCAATGAAAGATACAGATTTTTCTTTGACAGCATCACTGATTGATGTGGTCAAACAGACTCAGCAGTGAAGTCACGATGCACTGACACACCCTGCATCAAGGTTACTCTGAGTCCCTTTCCGACGGCATGAATGCGGAGCTTCTCACAAAATCAGAAAGAAAAGCGTGTTTGATTTTGTTTCTTCATTAATATGTTGTAGTCTACACCCTACAAAAGGAGTCAATAAGAGATGGTGTGTTTTACTGCATTCAGTCGTCACTTTATTCAACAGTTTTTTGTATCGGACACATTTTGTATGCTTTACACTTTTATCTATTGTATTCATTAGGTGCTACTTTACAAGCAACTATTACTTTTGTGAATTCTGAGAATGCTTGATTAAGCTAAAACTATGAAGTGATTAGACAATCTACAACAAATATATAAATCACCTGCTCCAATGTGAGCATTTGCTGCTTTTCTCAGTTTTATACCATTATAAATGGATACAGGAATCGATATTGGAGACCTAAAGTCATCATCTTTGAAATTGGGTGTTTTCAGGTATGCCATTGGTCATTAAGACAATTAACTATTATATAAAATAATCATTAGCTGCAGCATTATAATATACAGAAAAGGATTTGGCCACATTTTTTTAGATCTGACCAAAAGCTGATTTTCAGAAAAAGACAGAATTGGGTTTAATGTCAAAACTCAAATGAAAACCACTCTTGGTCAGATCTATCTTAATGTCATGTTTATTTCCCCTTGTTGTTTGATGTGATAGTCGATGCTGTGTAAGGTAGAAAGGGTCAGCTTTATCGACAGCTTCATTTGAGTGCTCCACACTTCATCTCTAACGGCCCGTCCACACAGCGGCGTGCGTTGAAAGCTTCACCATTCACTTTGAATGGGGTGACGTCACTTCTCGCCGAACTGCATTGTGGGAAGCGACGCGGAGTTTTGCTGGCGTGGCTCGCTGCAAAAGTTGAGCAATGTTCAACTTTTGACGCCTCGGCAGAAGCGTCAGCCAATCGAATCATATGCCAGTACAAGCTCTAGCCAATCAAACCGCTGCTTGTGTGTCAGGGGCGGGAGATTCATGTGATTGGTTGTTGGTCGTGTTTCAGACACGCCCGCCGGCAAGCTTCCGCTGTGTGGACGGGCCGTTAAGGCTAGCCTCGATTGTGTATTATTACCAAATTCCAGTCACAAAGCTGAACATCAGTTTTACTTAAAGACAGATTGCTATTGACTTTTGAAAACCCTTTCATTAACAAAAAACAAATGTTGTGGTATATTTAAAGATGTGAGAGTCTAATAAAAAACATTAGGGAATACAACTCGAAGGTGTGATTACATGTATGTCCTTTTGACTTGCATACAGGTATAACCAGGGTCGTCTGCAGACTCACCCGGTGCATCGACACATGGCGATACTGGTGGAGAATTCAGCACAGGAAGCGATGGGAACCATTAAGGAGAAGGGAAATGCTGAGATACTGGAGTGGGAGCTGGATGAGCTGCTGGCCTGGACCAACACTCTCAACTTTGAGGAGTAAGATCCTCTGCTCCACTGTCAACAAATGTAGCAAACGGCAAACCTTTGTGACATTCTGATGCTCTCGGTTGGAAACACTGCTTGTCATTTGAAATGATTTCATTATTTGTAAAACAATATATATATATATATTCTTGCCTGTGCAGGTACATGCAGGATTGGAGAGGTTTGGCCTGCAGTGACTCCTCTGAGCCAAGCAAAGGTAAATATTTTTTTTTTGTGTATATGTAGTAGTCTGAAGTTTTGTCTAACAGAATTATTAAGCTGTCTTTGAATAATAAAAACAAATGTAGTAAGCAAGATCAGGAATCCAGGAATTACAAAGCCAAAGAGGTAAACTAAAGGGGGGAAAGGGGAATATAATCTTTGTCACATTGGAAATCATGTTATGGTATACTGTACCGCCATCTGCTGTTAAAGTTAAGTAAGGACTACCAATGCTTAATTTATAGTGTAAATCTCACACACTTTAATAGAAAACCTATTGATGAGCATGGCTTTGTTTCCTACAGTTTGCCATTGATCTGTTTTTCTTCCCTTCTTCTCCCTTTTATTTATTTGTCTCTTGCCCTCCTGTTCCTCTTACAGATTCATATTCATATCCACCCAGGTTAGATCAACACGAGCTTGCTGCTGTGGCTGCTGAAGACGGTTAGATTCAACAGAATAAAGTCATTTATGTTAAAACCATCACAGTGCTTATGTGATGATTTAACTATACACATTTAAACATAATTTCCGAGAGACATATTATTCATGCAATCAAGTTATTATCGATGCTATCACTTCAGAAAAATATGATTAATGCGATGAGTTTATGTTGATTTGTGCTAGTACAGCGGTTAAGTGATTATATTCAAATAATTATTAGTCATTAAAAGGGTTTTAATGAGATGAACTCCTGTTACCCACAATCAACTATCTATTATTGAATCTCTGTGACATTGAATAGGATCAAACTGATATTAGCTCGAGACATCTGGCTGCATCCACAGAATTCATTCATGTCTCTGACTATCACAGGACTCTAGGGTCTCATTTGGATGTTTTTACCTAGTTAGCCTAGTTGCCTGTTGGCCAAATATATAACTTTGAGTAAAGGCATCAGTATGTGTCCCTGATTTTCCATGTATGTAAAATGAGTGTTCAAAAAGTAAAACATGGGGTACTGTTCAAATTCACAAAGATGGCTTCAATAATTGGCATGTAAGTCAAATTAGTTGCTAAGAGAGACACTATTATAATTTATCAAAAAGTATTTTCGAGTCATTTCGAGGAAAGGGTGATCCCTCCTTGTGGCGCCTGTAGACGTTTTTATTGTATTTATTTTTGTTTTTTCTAATAACATTATGATATTTACTAGATGTCATCAAGTATCATCAAGTATCATCAAGTGACGAGCACTGGTCAATTACTCTGAGACCCAGCTATGAGTGTTAGGAATGTATGAAGAGGAAATGTTTAAAATTAAAAGCATGTGATGGATCGATTGCACTGATGTTAGTCTCTGTCTACCTTTCTCTTTCAATTGATTTCAAATATAAACTCAAACGTCGCAAAAGAGGGGGCATCCGGATTTGAACCGGGGACCTCTTGATCTGCAGTCAAATGCTCTACCACTGAGCTATACCCCCATACCTCTACCATCTCTCATGGAATGTTTTTAAGGATATCCATGCAAGATGTTGACGTTTGCTGTATTATTTAGGTATGGTAGACCTGTCAAACATTACACAAATATTAAAATAAAACCTACTACGAATACTGTGCGCGAAGTTAACAGACAACGGGGCATTTTTACAAGTACAAGGTACACAGCATCGTCTTGAACCGGATGTGTCGTGATGTAAACGGGACTCAACCGGATATTCAAGTGTATCCAACAGAAAGTGGAAGAAACGGAATCACAATGGTATGGCTATAGTCTTATCTCATGTAACATGACTTATTCTATCGTTAGCATATTTACTGTAATGTAATTGTTTTCTATATTTATGCGCATATTTATTCCACCTGCCCACATCTTTGTTTCTGTCTTTGAATTCTCTGAAGTCCATTTACGTTGTGAATTTGATTAGTCACTCGAGCTAATGCTAGTTAGCTCTTAGCTAACTACGAGGCTCCCTAACTTAGCTAAGGATGATGTTAGATTTTGTTTTTTGTAATTTAGCTATTCTTATTAGATATTAGTTGTGAATGTGAATATTTTATTGTTACAGAATACACGAGGACTCCGCTCTCAACTGAAAGACAGCGTACCTGTGGCAGGCTTGTGTCCACAGGGAGCTTATGGTGTGCAGGACTCTCTGCGTAGTGGGTGAGACATGGCCACAAATAATATTACTGTTGTTTAATCTAATGCTATATATGAACCGTATTCTATGTTGTTTGCACAAACAGTGCGATAGTTAAAAAATACCGGTTTTAGTTGTATGTTTGCCACTTAATTTACATGGATAGTTGTCGAAACACGATTGCCCTTTTCAATTTGTTTTGTTGTAAATATTATTGTCCATCCATCTTCTACCGCTTATCCGAATATTATAATTAACTCAATAATATTGTTTATTAATTTAATTAATTATTAGTTATGAAATTGCTAGTCGCAACTATAACATAATCAATATTGGGTCGTTTGTACCTGTTATTATCCATTACATCCTGCCATCACACATAGTCTTGTGTCTGACAACTTTCCCTTGTAAGAGGAGGTTGAACTAATTTGTTTCTTTTTTGGTCAAAGTTTATAATAGTAGCACCTCTTTAAACCAGTACATTTACATGATACTGTATTTGACCTGGTCACGTTTCTTTTTGTTGCTACACAGATTTACCAGCGTTAAGAATGAGCTCCTTCCAAGCCACCCGCTGGAGCTGTCCGAGAAAAATGTGAGTAATCTTTAGTAAACTCGGCACAGTATATTTTCTTTCTGGTGTTTTAACAACAAAACCGTTTTGAGTTAGAATGTCTTTACTTTTAAATAGAACACAGAAAGCTATGTATTCTTGTTACAGCCATCAGTAGCAGTAAGAACAAGTGAAACATTGAATGTGTGAAAATGTCCTTGTTGTCCCAAAGTACTGAAGATGTTTGTCTTTCTGTGGTGTGCAGTTCATGCTGAACCAGGACAAGATGAACTTCTCTTCTCTCAGAAACATCCAGGGTCTGCATGCTCCACTTAAACTACAGATGGAGTACAGAGCTGCTAGACAGGTAACACACACACACACACACACACACACACACACACACACACACACACACACACACACACACACACATGTTCCTACTCCCAAATCCAGACTGTCAATCTTCTTTCTTTCGCCTGTCCCTGTACATTGTTTTTTCTTTTAAGTCTTCTCCCTCCATAACTCTTGTTGTCTGACTCCCCCTTCCAGATCCAGCGTCTGCCGTTCTTACAGAGTTCAAACCTGGCTCTAGATACGCTGCGAGGAAACGATGAGTCCATTGGCTTTGAGGACATCCTCAATGGTGAGAACCTCAGCCCTTCATCTTTACACAGCAATTCACTCAACTTTCTGAATAAGATATTTAACCTGTGTTTGTATTCTGTTCCCCTGCAGATCCAACCCAGAGTGAAATGATGGGTGAGCCACACATGATGGTGGAATACAAACTTGGACTGATGTAAAATATGATGGACACACATATTACACAGCTACATGCATAGATTTAGGTTTATTATTTGTCTGCATCCATTTGTTTATTGGCTTGAGGATTAAGTTGGTAATCTTTTGGGAAAGAAAAGGGGTTTGATGGGGTTGTGTGTGTTGATTCACCCTGTCAATCACATAGATCTGGAGTTTTAAACAGCAAGCATTCAGTCCTGCTTTTGTATGATTCCAATCCGGTTGTTATTTCTAATAAACATCATAACTTTCCTCATGTGATGTGTCGGGTTCATTTGATAAATTATTTACCTTGCAAGACAAGAATAATGTTTCATGTCTAAATATGTCCATTACAAATTCTGAAAGTGTTCATCAGGTCACAGGATGTTGTATTTATTCTTTCAACAGCTGCTATTCTTCAGTTTCGGGTAGTCTTTAAAGATAATCTGACATTATTTTATAGATGTCTGCTGTTTGATACCAATTATGCTACATTGCAACACTTAAAACTACTAAAGCTGTCATATACCCTAATACCGTGCTACTGGCGATTGTGTAAACTGTTTTTTTTACTCTTATCGGAGTACATTTTAAAACCATGTAGTTTAACTTTTACCTGAGACAAATGCTGTACTGCTCAACATTATTACTGCAATTTACAGAGCTCTCTGTAAGGATGTGCTATAAATATGTTATTAAAACTCGAAGCTAAAACAGTCAAAAGGCTAGTCAATGCCGGCGGTGAGGGAGGGGAGTGAAGGAACGTAAAGGTTCTGTAACTCACTGTTGCAATCAATTGAAATCGGACCAACTGAGAATTGGAAAAGAAAGTGGTGTTGTACTTATACATCAGCCTGGCTATGTGTCTCTCAGACACGGTGGAGAATTATTAAAACGACGGTCCACAAACGGATATAAATTATGAGTAAATATCCATGCCAATACAACATACATATTTGAGTAGATACGCTTGAAATGGCCAAATGTACAACAAATACTGTCCCGCAGAGCATGCTGGGAAAAACGTCACAGCAGAGAATTTAGTTAAAAAAAAATGATGATTTTATCAAAGATGATGAGTAAGTGCCGAGAGAGAAATCCGTCTATAAATCACAAATCTACACTCAATGAAATATAACTGTAAAAGTTGATGCTACTGCTGTTACTTTTTTAATAAGCCATAACGATCTAAGATTTGTTTTGCCCAATTGAAACACGATATAAACTCATAGTCGCTTGAGAAACAACACTAAATGTCATTACTTTAAAAATCAAAATGAAGAGAAAGATGGATAATAAATATGACATAAATCTTCTAAATATGATACAATAAAATCGTTTGGTTATCCTTAAGTAAGGCTTCATGTGCCGACTGCAGCCTATATGATATTCATACTTTTAATATATTGCTTTGATCGTTTTAATGTTGAACGAGTAACAGACCCGTTTCAGGCCAAACTGATGCTGATGAAACACTGATGAAATGCATAAAAGGGAGCTTCAACCACCCCCTTGGATCTGACTTGTTTTGGGGAAATATATGTGAAACTTCCCTATTGATTAAAAATTAATATGGCATACACTCGCGGAGTCAGTCATTCCCAACTTAAACAACTTGAACTTTGAAGCTACTTTGATCATGTTAGAAGACAGCCTGGAGAAGATACAGCATAACAAACACAGTGTAGTTTGAGCAAAGTGGAAGGGAGATAGGATTTCTAACAGTTATTTATTGGATCTATTTAGTTTGGGTGATGATAAAATTATAAACAAAAGAAAGGAGTTTGAACTATTTAATGTTAGGCCTGTTATTGATTTTAGTAGTTGTAGATTCAGAAGTTTTATAATAACAATTCAGCCTATTTACTTTATTTTATAGGGTATGCTGTATTGTTTATGGTAACCTGTCAACATCGAAGTGCACATTTTCAGTGACATTTAAACGTTTTAACTTATCTAAGCTAACTATAAAGCAAGAAATCTCATCTCATCATCAATGCGATCTACTTTACACCTGGCGGATGTATTCCTGCTGCGGAGCAAATGGCGTGCAGTTTATTTCACGTTTAATATTAATAAGCTTTGACAAACAAGCCGCCATGCAGGCCTTGTTGACAGCAGTTCACTATTGCCGCTGTATGCTGGATAAACTAAAGTTACATGCAAACAATTAACACATCATGGATGCTAGATATATAATAATATAAACGATTTATTT